AAAACAGAAGAATATTATACATCTGTGGTTCTTAATCTGTGGTCCTGGTCCAGCAGCATCAGCATCACCTGGGACCTTGTTAGAAATGCAAATGCTCAGATCCGGTCCTACACCTGCTGAATCAGAAACTCTGGGGGTGGGACCCATCCATCTGTGGTTTAACAATCCCTTCAGGTGGGTCTGATGCTTGCTCCTGTTTGAGAATCATTGCTGTGTAGCCAGCAGAGTGAACGGATGACATTCAATGTCATGGATAGATCTCACGGTGTTGAATGAAAGAAAACAAACACAAGAGTACATACTAGAGGATTCCACTTATATGAAGTTCAAAACCAGGGAACACTAGGGGCCAACCCGGTGGAGCAGCGGTTAAGTTTGCACGCTTTGCTTTGGCAGCCTGGGGTTCACCAGTTCAGATCCCAGGTGCAGACCTGGCAACACTTGTCAAGCCACGCTGTGGCAGGCGCCCCACGTATAAAGTAGAAGAAGATGGGCACGGACGTGAGCTCAGGGTTAATCTTCCTCAAAAAGAGAGAGAGAGAGAGAGAAAACCAATCAATACTACTCTCGGGTGATAGAAATCAGGAGAACTATTATGCTTGGAGAGGAAGGAAGGAGTAACTCGAAGTGAGGATGGAGCTACCAGGTACTGGTCATGTTCTGTTTCTTGATGGGGATGCTGGTCACACAGGTTTATTTAGTTTGCGAAAATTCAGCAAGCTATTCGCTTAGGATTTCTACAGTTTTCTCTATGCCGTGTTTCAATAAACAGTGAAAGGCAAAACATGAGATCTCTTTTTTTAATCTGGATTTTTTAATCATTTAAAACATGGTGTTTTAATGAGAGTGGAAAGGAAGAGTGTGCATACACTGGTGAGAGGATAAATTAGTACACAGTTTTTGATGAGTAATTTGACAGTAGCTCTAAGGCTTGAAATATCCTAGAAATTCCGCTTCTAGGAATCTGTCCTGGAATTCAGGTTTGCAGAGGTGTATATTATAAGAATCTTCCCTCGGCATTTTTGTACAAACATAAAGGAGACAACTTAAATTTCTCTCAATAGGGAACTGGTTACATGAATTATGGAGAACTGGGCAACTGTTACAGTTGGCACAGATCTGTGTGTAGTAGCACGGAGGGAGTGCCTCTCTGGTATTGCTCATGGAAGGAAGCAAGTTAGAGGCACTGTGTACACAGTGATTCGTATTTTTAAGGGAGAAAGAAAAAGATGTACAGGTGGTAGTTATAAATGCAAGGGAAAGACGTTCGGAAAGGTAGACGTAAAATTTTTATGTTGGTTTATCTTGAGAATTTACAGCTGGTAGTTGGGGGTTGTCTTTTCCTTGTATGCTTTATATATACTTTATATGCTTCTGTGTTTATTTTTACCTGCATTTATCACTTTTTAAAATCTTTTTAAAGTCTTAGGTTTACCATTCCAAAAAAGTATGAGCCTAAAAAAATGCTTATCAGTGAAAAAACAAACAGTATTTTTGTAGTCTAAGCAAATAAAGATCAAGAGTTTGTCTTACACACACACACACACAGAGCAGGAGATGAATAACATTTATGTAAAGTGATTTTCATCAGTTTTGGTTAAAGTGAGAGGAAAAAGGTTTGCTTCTGGATATATTTCAGTTACCTAGGAAATTCACTTGGGCGGAACAGTTCTTTTCTTGACTTCATTTTTTAAGGGTCATTCGTTTTAACTGTTTGCTGGTGAGGTCATGGGTCAAGTGTTCCTGTTCTTTGAGCGATGGCTCGGTTAGCAGTGTTGTGCCTGTGTGTAAAAGGTGGCCGTGGCTACCACATTAGACAAGCACCTCTAGACAGGGCCATCCACCTGGTGTTAATCATGAAAAGCATTTTTACGTTCAGCGCCGAGAGCTGTTAGCTGAGCCTGCTTAGCTGGACACCAGCTTGTGCTGGAAACTCTTGAACCTTTGCTCGCCCCTGGAGAGGCGCCCCAGCCCCATTTGCACACGCACGGTTGTGTTTCCTGTGTGGATCACCAAAAAAGGGCTGTTCTGACCCTTTCTGTTTGAATCAAGAAGCCCAAGATGATGTTTCAGACTGTGCCATGTCGGATTATGTCTGTTACCAGTCTTGCTGATCCAATGGCATGTCACATATATGTGTATAGATTACCTGTCCGTTATGATGAGTTTGGGCCCAAAACCCAATTTGTGTGAGGCTTAGTGCTTTCTGGAATTTTATCCCTGTTTTGTGTATCTTCACTTTCAGTAAATTCTGTTGCCACAGATGTAAGCACAAAAACACATCTCTCTTAAGCATTTCTTTGGAATTCATATGCAATATCAAGCAGATAAAAGGACATCAACTTTTAACTCTGAAGAGGGGAAACGGCGATAGAGTTTGTTCCCTGCTCACCAGCACAGGCATCCTAACTGACAGAGAGGAGAGCTGCTCAGTGAGCAGTTTAAAATGTCCCTCAGCAGGCTAGCCCAGTGGCACAGCAATTAAGTTCACACATTCCACTTCGGAGGCTAGGGGTTCGCCAGTTTGGATCCTGGGTGCGGACGTATGCATTGCTTGTCAAGCCATGCTGTGGCAGGTGTCCCACATATAAAGTGGAGGAAGATGGGCATGAATATTAGCTCAGGGCCAGTCTTCCTCAGCAAAAAAAAAAAAAAAAAAAAAAGATTGGCGGCAGATATTAGGTCTGGGCTCATCTACCTCAAAAAAAAAAAAAGTCCCTCAGAAACCTGTCTGAGGGCTTAACCATCTTCACGGGAAGTCTTCCTTCTTAAAGAGGGGCCTGACCTCCTCTCCCTGTAGTGTCCACTTCTTCTATCCGTAGGCCCTGCTACCTCAGACTGAGTGGGTTGAAAACTGAGCTCCTGAATTGTTGTTCAAACCAGCCCCTAACTATTCCTGTTTCATTGTTCCAGCTGAGGAAATGACACTCTGATCCACTTCTTAAATCTTTCCAGAGACCCTGGGGGTCATTCCACTTTATCCTCCCCCACTTCTCTCCATATCTAATCTATTAAAGTCTTATGTGCTTCTAGAATTTGTCTTGGAGTCTCACTTCTCAATATTCCCTGCCACCATGTTGGTCTTGAATACATCATCTTCTCCCACTTGGACTATGGCCACCTTCTCAGAACTGGTCTCCTCACGCCAGCCCTTTCCCCTCCACATGTCCATTCTCCCAACACAGCCAGAGTCATGTTATAAAACTGACCGTGATCTTATCATTACCTTGCTCAAAACCCTCCCACCACCCTTAGGATAATGTACAAAATCCTTAGGCCTCCTTGGGCCCACATAATGCGAGCCTTCCCAGCCTCTCTAACATCTTGCACCAGTGTCCTAACTTACTGTGCTTTCTTACAGGTTCTAGAAGGCAGCAAAGCCCTTCCCCCCTCCAGACCTTTGCCCATGCTGTGCTCTCTGCCTAGAAAGTTGTCTTCCCTCCTCGCTCACGAGCTCTTACTTGGTCTCCAGGTTATTCTTCAGCACGGCCGTCCCTGACACTTCCCATGCCTGCAACAAGGCTACGTCTCCCTGTTATAGACCTTGTTACACCCTTTGTTTTCTTTCATAGCATTTTTCGCAAGTGTAATTATTCAGCTATATCCCCCACTAGACTTTAAGTTGCGTGCGAGCTGGACCTGTTCAGTTTGTGCCCCACTCTATCCTTGGGGCCTGATAGCAGGAAGCCTGGCATATTTTAGGTGCTCTCAAGTGTTGAACAAATGAGTGAAAGCCATCTTCCTAGCTTAGTGATTGAAATTACTTGAGTATTTTGTTCCATATACTGCGAAGAAAGCTAAAACAGAAATGAAATAATTTCTCCCAAGTCACACAGCAAGCCAGAGCCCACCCTGTGCTCCTCATACTGTCACCTGGGGATGTGGTTTAGATACTAACTTCTTCATGACTTAGGAATAAAGTCTTCCTGGTTCCTGGAAGATGCTGGAATGTGAGATGCATACTTTGCTCTGGCCTTCCTTCTTCAGGACTAAAGATGCCTATAATTTACATCCGTTTCCTTTCCCTTCCTGAAGTCCTCCTTTAGTCGTGAGTGACGTTGACTTGGCTCGGGTTTGGCTTTGCTCAGCAGCAGCGGTGAAGAGTTGGATGACTGCTGCTGGAACAAAGCACAGCTGAGTGCCTGTATCTGGGCTGGGCCCTTGCTCGTTCTCCCTTCTGAAAGCTCTCTCAGGCCACACATTATTTGCCATCTGTGGGGAGAGCAGCAGTGGCAGGTGAGGAGTCCTCAGAGGTTCATCCCTTGAGAGCAGATCAGTCCCAGGGACCACCTCGAGTGGACCTGCAGTCTTGTTCCCTTGACAAGCATCAGCCTGTGAGCAAATGCCTGCCATGGATGTGTGTTGTTTTGCCTCTCATGGTGTTTTAATACTCTTTATTGGGGCCATTCCGTGGCCCAGTGCTTAAGTTCAGCGTGCTCTGCTTCAGCGGTCCAGGTTTGCAGGTTCAGATCCCAGGTGTGGACCTACACCACTTGTCAGCCATGCCGTGGCAGCGACCACCTATAAAGTAGAGGAAGATTGGCACAGATGTTAGCTCAGGGCGAATCTTCCCCTGGCAAAACAAAAGAAAACTACTTTTTTATTAGTGCTAACATTTAAAAATCAAGATTATCATATACAAACTTGAGTTTCTGTTTTCTCCTGGAAAAAAAAAAAAAAAAAGGAAGATCTAGCAAAACCAGCCCACGACAGTTGGCTAGAGCTGAGTACCGACTGCCCCCTTAAGACAAGACATAGTTTTTCTTGTTTGCCGTGGTCTCTGCCCAGCCCACTATGTTCGCTTATTTTCTCTTCCTGGCATCTGTGGGCACGCGAGTTTACAGACCCTGTTGTATTTGTAAGTCACGTGTAGGTGTGTGTGTATGTGTGAAAGTTGTAATTGACATTCTAATTATTTTTTTCTCCTTCCCCAAATCCTTCTTTTTCTTTATCTTCTGCTTTCACCTCCCTTTTCTTCCCCACTTCCTGTCATTTTACAGATTCTGGGACTGCTGGTATGGACACTTATCGCTGGAACTGAGTACTTCCGGGTCCCTGCATTTGGCTGGGTCATGTTTGTAGCTGTATTTTACTGGGTCCTCACCGTCTTCTTCCTCATCATCTACATAACAATGACCTACACCAGGATTCCCCAGGTGCCCTGGACAACAGTGGTAAGGAAGCCGTGAGTGTCCTTGTCCATTGCCCACTAGGTAGGATGGAATTTAGTCCTCCTCTAGTCAATTCAGGATTGTCTCTCTGCCAACATAGACTGGGAAAAGCCAGGGAGAACCCAACATGGCAGATAATCTCTCTATTACCCAATTGTCTTTCAGGTGTTTTATAGCTGAGTATGAACTTGGGCAGGTTGCAAGGTCCATGAACATTTTTTAGCCAAAATAGCAAACCAGTCCTCAGAAGACTGAATCAAGAAAAGCTCAGTTCTCTTATGTAGACTCTTATTTTATTAAGTCCCAGTAAACAATGTCACCTGGAAGCAGGTTTGTCAGGGCACCTCTGCACATCTTCCTTCCTTCAACGCCCCCACTCCCACTCCGGGGCCATGACCTTAACCCTTTGCAAGTCAGAGCTCTTTGGTGTTGGGATGCGCGGTGTATGCAAAGGGTTAGAATGAAAAATGAAAACTGCTGTAGGAATAGGTGTCCTCACATTTGGACTCTAGAGTCGTCAAGGGTGATTGGATTCTTGTCCTGGCTCCAGGCACCATGCTGGATGCAGGATAAACGAAGGGGATCACACAGTCTAGGGAGAAATGGATTAGAAGATGTGTGGATTACAGTACCTTTCTTAGTCTGCTCGGGTGTCATAACAAAATACTATAGACTGGGTGGCTTAAACAACAGAAATTTGTTTCTCACGGTTCTGGAGGCTGGAAGTCTAAGATCAAGGTGTACGTTTAGTTGGTTTGTGGTGAGAGCTGTCTTCCTGGCTTGCAGGTGCATACTATCTCGCCATGTCCTCACATGCTGAGAGGAGGAAGAGAGAATGTGAGCTCTCCTTCATCTCCTCTAACCAAGGGTGCTAATCCTATCATGAGGGCCCCATCCTCATGACCTCAGCTAACTCTAATTACCTCCAAAGGCCCCATATCCAAATAGAATCACATGGAGGGTTAGGGCTTCAACTTACGAATTTTGGGGGTGGGGGGGACACAAACATTCAATTCATAACATTCTACCACACCCCCCCATCATGCCATTTTCACATGCAAAATATATTCATTCCATCTCAACATGCCCAAAAGTCTTTTTTTCTTGAGATTTTTTTCTTTTTCCTTCATCTCTCCAAAGCCCCCCAGTACATAGTTGTATATTTTAGTTGTGGGTCCTTCTGGTTGTGGCATGTGGGACACTGCCTCAGCATAGCTTGATGAGTGGTTCTAGGTCCGCACCCAGGATCCGAACCAGCAAAACCCTGGGCCACCGAAGCAGAGCGCACAAACTTAACTACTCGGCCACAGGGCTGGCCCCAATGGGTAAGACTTTTAAGGTACAATTCATCCCAAGACAAAATTCCTTTCTAGCTATGAATCTGTGAAACCAGATAAGTTATGTACTGCCAAAATACAGTGATGGGACAAGCAGAGAATAGACAGTCTGTTTCCAAAAGGGAGAAATAGAAAAGAAGGAAGGGGCGACAGATCCCCAGCAAGCCCAAAACTTACAAGGCAAAGTCCATTAGATGTTTAGGCTCCAGAATAATCCTTTTTGGTTCAATACTCTGTTCTGGAGGCCCACTGGGGTGGCATTGTCACCCACAGTCTCCTCAGGGTGGCCATGCCCCTGAGGCACTGGGCTGGGACATCCTGGCTCACAGAACCAGAGGCAGCTCCACCCTTTGAAACGAGGAAGAGGAAGAACCAGCCTGCCTCCTTGGCCTGTGGTGGGAGTGGCAGCCCTGATGATCTCTCTGAATCACCTTTGGGTGATTTATTCTTCTCTTTTCTTGAAAGATAGAGCATATTCACAGCCAAAAAGCTCTATGGTTCTGTCCTATAGAATCCAAGAAGTTCAACTGCCCTGCTTCATTTTGCCCCTTCTCCGTCGTTCAGTTCAGACTGGCAGTGTTTCTGCTGGTATATCCCTTATCGACTCCTGGCTTCTGCTGAGATGCTTGATTAGCTCTGTGGTTTGCACCCACGATCTCTTTATCAAATGGTTGTTCGGCCACACCCATCGTGTTCTCTTCAGAACAACCTTGCTGATTTTTTGCAATATGTACAGACTGAGAATTTTCCCAACCTTCAAGTTCTGGTTCTTTTTTGCTTAACAATTCTTCCTTTAATTTCTCTCGGTTCTTTTTATAAGCAGTCAGGAGGAACCAAGCTGCTCCTTCGACACTTATAAATCCCGGGTGCTAAATATCCAATTTCATTGCTTGCAAATTCTACCTTCCACAAAACACTAGAATACAGTTCAGCCCAGCTCTTTGCCACTTTATAACAGGATCACCTTTCCTCCAGTTCCCAATAATGTGTTCCTCATTTCTGAGACCTCTCCAGAATCCCCTTTAACATCCATCTTTCTAGCATGCACCTTAGAGTTCTCCAACCTCTGCTCATTGGCTGATTCCAAAGCCAAGTGTATATTTTTAGGCATTTTGTTATGGCAGCATTCTACTTCTGGTTCCCAAGTCTGTCAACCCAGTCTTAGTACCAAATCCTGTAGTAGTCAGGGTTCTCTAGAGAAGCAGAAGCAATAGGATGTGTATGTGTGTGTATAAAGAGATTTACTATAAGGAATTGGTTCACATGATTATGGGAGCTGAGAAATCCCAAGACCCTGTTAGCAAGCTGGAAACCCAGGCAAGCAGATGATATGGTTCCAGTCTAAGGGCAAAAGCCTGAGAAGCAGGAGAGCTAATGGTGTAAGTTCCAGTCTGAAAGCTGTCAGACTTGAGATCCAAGAAGACCCGATGTTTCAGTTCAAATCCAAAGGCAGGAATAAAAACCTCAGCATCCCAGCTCAAGGCAGTGAAACAGGAGGAGTTAACCTCTTCCTCACAGAGGATCAGGCTCTTTGTTCTATTCAGGCCTTGAACTGATTAGATGAGGCCCACCCCCACTAGGGAGGGCAATCTGCTGCACTCAGTCCACTGATTCAAATGTTAGTCTCATCCAGAAACACCCTCACAGACACACCCAGAATAACGTTTGACCAAATAATTGGTGCGCCCCATGGCCCAGTCAGGTTAACACATAAAATTAACCATCACAGTACCCTGTGACACTTGCTAAAGTGAGGGTGTGTACAAAGTGTGATGGAAGTAACCACCTCACCTTGGGACAGCTGGAAACCCTTCAAAGAGGAGGTGACATTGAGTGTCATCTTAAAGATGGAGTACACACTCCCAAGTGGAATTCACAGAGATGAAAGGTGAGGTCCCCCTTGCCTTGGAGCATCTGCAGTCTTGTTGGGGAATTTGAAGTGACCGTATGATTTAAGTAAAAAATCCAAGTGGTGCCGTGTGTGTGTGTGTGTGTGTGTGTGTGTGTGTGTGTATAAAACGGAGTTCTGAAGTGATACTGTCTTTTTGTTAGTTTCCAATCAATATATCGGAAGAATATCCAGCTCCAAATAACTGACTGATGAACCACATTTGAAATGCAGCCTATTTGTGGGTTGTAGGTTGAAGTTAAGTTGGCAGGCCTTCACAGTGCTGTCACTGCTCAGAATGTCCCTGGCTTTGTTCTTTCCGTGAATTGCCTTCAGAGCTAAGTTAAATCCCACAAGAAAACAAATCTCATTTTATTTCACAAACAGATTGACTGATTCTTGACTATTTCCCCCAATACACAAGTGAGGATTCTCCATTAAGATTTTCAAGAACGTGGTGCAGGTTCTGAAAGTAATTCCAATCGAGGTGCCCAAAACTGTGTGGGGCAGCACAAGCAGCCTTGTTGGAATTGGTGTCCGGCTTCCCCAGATGGGCACTGGGAAGGAGAGACTCATTGGGATGTGGGAGTCAAAAACGGTTAGCACTTTGACGTAACAGCTACCTGGGAATACAAGAGGAGGGGATCATCGGAGTGAGTTGGGGGCATTTAAGGAATGCCGTTTTGGAGAAAGAAGAGTCTTAAAGTGGGTCTTGGAGAAAGTGCTTGTGAACTTGGGAGAAGATTAACTCAGGAAATGTAACAGGAGAGCAAATGGTTGGGATGCAGGAATGAGCGGTACCTTTATTTCCACTTTTGCCTGAGTCTCACTTCCTAGTTGTCTGATCTGAATGAGGGGTTGGCAAACTTTCTCTGTAAAGGGGCAGATAGTAGGTATTTTCTCTTTTGGGGCTGTACAAACTCTGTCACAGCTACTCAACTCTGTTGCAGCATGACAGCAGCCACAGATAATTTGTAAATGAATGAGCATGACTGTTCCAGTAAAACTTTATTTACAAAAACTGGCAGTGGGCTGTAATTTGCTGACCTCTGGCCCAGATCATGTATAGTCTTTCTCTTCTCCATAATTTATTACATAATTTATTACTTTAAAACTCCTTCATGATTTATTACATTAGGCTCCTTCATAATTTATTACATTAAAAATGTTTAGGGGCCAGCCTGGTGGTTTAGTTGTTGGGTTCACACGCTCTGCTTTGGCAGCCCAGGGTTCGTGGGTTTGGATCCCAGGCCCGGACCTACGAACCACTCTTCAAGCCATGCTTTGGTGGCATCCTACATACAAAATAGAGGAGGATTGGCATGGATGTTAGCTCAGGGCCAATCTTCCTCACCAAAAAAAAAAAAAAAAAGTTTAAATATCGCTTTCAGTAATTCTTTTTTAAAAAGTTAACAGTGCTCCTTTCTGTCAAATGCTTTGATTTACATTATCAGAATTTATCCTCATAAGGTGTGTCTATTTTATAGATAAGGAAACTGGGGTTTGGAGCCCTGTGACTTTGCACAGATTCACACACGGCTGGGGCCCATGTCTCTCGACTTCCATCCAGCATTTCTTTCTGATCTCCTCCTGCTTCAGGTGCTCTTCTGCCTGAGTGGTAAATAAGAACCCCAGTCAGCAGGGAGGAGATCAGGCCTTTGAGTCCCTCACAATTGTTTAATCCTTGCTCTCATCAAGCAAGGCCGTCAGCCTCCATGTCAGGGGTTGCACACTCGTGTGTGACGAGACCAGACAGGTCATGCAAGTGAGTAGAAACTCAGTGAGTGTTGAATTCTTGACCCCCAGACACACTTTCTCAGCGTCTTAAACAACTGGAGTATATTGTTCCCGTCACAAGGAAATAAGCTGGAAATGTGCTCCCAGCGAGAACTTTCCTGCTAAGAAGGATAATAAAGACTACATCACCCCCACGTCGGTGCAAGTCAGCCTTTGCTGCCAAACGACTTTTGCATTTACTTTTGGTCTCCAGAGCATTTGGGGAATATGAGAGTGCAGAGAAGGGATTGGTAGACCTGATTTTAGTTCCCTGGGAACTTGCCAGGGACACCATCCATGGAACACTGCAAAAGCCCAAGTTCCGTAATCTCGCATGTAGCTCCTCCATTAAGGAGGCATGAGCTTTGCCCTGGATCCTATCTTGACAATAGGCCTCAGCGCATCTGGGGAGAACACAGGTGCAAAGTTCCTGCATCCATCTTTAATGTGCAGCAGGGAACCAGCTCTGAGCTCCTGGGTAATATCATTTACTCAGAGAGACTGGGGTGTGCTTTCTGACAAATCTAATTTGAGCTAAAATTTCAAAGCAATACAATTTGCCATCCTCATAGCACTAAGCACCGGGACCTACACAAAGGCATTCTCTGAGGATTCATCCTCTGTAACTTATCCCTGTTGACCTCTTTGCAAGCCCCCTGAGCAGCAGTACAGGCCACACCCAGGGCAGGCGGTATTAGCCTCCTTTTATAGGCAGTAGGAGCCACCATGTATTAAGTACCTACTGTGTGCCAGATGTCATGATGGACCCTTTATATTTGCGTCAGTCATTTTGTTTAATCCTCACAGTAACTTTGCAAAAATGGGACAGATTCTTTCCATTCCACAGATGAAGAAACTGAGACAGGAAGAGGATTTTGATAGCCAGGAATGGGATTCAGGTTCCCTAATGCCAACCACAGTTATCAGCCCTGGATCTGTTTGGCTCCCAGTGAACATGTGTGGTCTGATTCTAGCCTTCTGGAAATCTCCGTGAAGCTAAAAGACCCTACGAGCTCTCTCCGGTGCAGGGATTAGGCATTGGTGGCAGTTCCGTCTTGTAAATTGTAGACATGACTAATACAGTGTGGAGGACCAACAAAGGGCGGCCAGCTGCTTGAGAGTTTTTATCTGTGTGCCTTTATGGGGGGGGGGGGGGGGGTATTTTTATACCAGAAAGGGATTGAATTTCAGAAAAGAGTAGCCTTCTCCCTTCCTCCAAAAAGAACACTTGGAAACCTTTCGTAAGATACTGTGTCGTCCTGTCCTCTGCTCGCTGTGCCCAGGGATGCGGCAGGGCCTGACGTTTGAGTTGCAGGAGCTTTACGTACTTTCAGCTGGAATGGTCCAATTCAGGCCTGTTTCTGTGCAACAAGACCTCACGTTTCCCTGAAGCTCAGTAATACCCTAGAGCCTGCTGGTTTCCTGCAGCCCTCCTTCGCCTCTGTAGCCACACAGGTTTTTTGTTTTATTTTTTAACCTTTGTAACAATCTCAGATGCTGGTTTCTTTGCCCTTCTTTTTTCTTTCTTCTCTCCACCTGTTTTCACGACAGTTCCCCAGCCGAGGCATCCCTCCGGACATGCTTACTTTGGGGAGTACTAAATAAGACTGAGGAAGCCAATAGGCTCGGCGCTGTGAGGTCATGTTAATGGAGGCTTGTGATAAACCGGCAGTGCCCCCCGTGGCGTGGTGTATGGGGGAAGAATGCCTCGGCTTCCTGCTTACGTCTCTACCACCCACTTCCCCATTTCTCTCCAGGGGATATAGGGGTTTCTCATTTCCTTAGAAAAATGGATTGAGCCACACTTACTAATAGACAGGGTCATATACCCGGTTTCCTCTCTGGCCCCTTCATCCACGTGGCTGCATGGACAAGGCCCAGGACCTAGCAGTGCGGACCAGGTTGAGCTCTCTTTCGGTGCTCTCTTATTCATCCTGATTGCTTGTATGGGGAACTGGACGTGCGTGAGTGCCCCAAAATACGTGTTCAGAGATGTTCATTACAGTAGTGTTTGCAATCCCGGAAGAACTAGGAACATCAGAATGCCGGGCAGTAGGGGAAAAGTTAGATTATGAGGTGTTAGTGCCGTGACAAGAAATGAGGTCAGTCTGTTTGGACTGAAATGTAAAGATGCCTTTGGTATCTTTTTAAATGGGAGGTAGGGGGGCAATGTTGCATAACTATATGGCTCCATTTGTATAAAAGTGCATGTTTGCCTTTACCCCATGGGGAGATACTTTTTACTCCAGGTTGTTCTGTCCAAACTGGATTTTGTTTGGTTACCATGAACGTGAATTATCTTTTTTATTTTAAGCATTTTAATGTTTCAAAAGTAATACATGGCTAGTTTATGAAAGAAAAATAAATTTAACTGCCACCTATAAAAGGGTACAAAATGAAAACTAAAGTCTCCCACTCCTCAGACGTAACTATATTTAACTGTCTCTGCATTTTAAAAAAAAGGTAAGGAGTCCTTTACTTGGCAAATAACAAATGCGCAAAAAACACCTTCCCACACTCCCTAACCGCTGTGTGCCTCTGTCCCCCCAGGGTCTCTGCTTTAATGGCAGTGCCTTCGTCTTGTACCTCTCGGCCGCTGTTGTGGATGCATCTTCTGTCTCCCCGGAAAGGGAGGGTCACAACTTCAACAGCTGGGCGGCCTCGTCGGTGAGCGACCCTCTCATCCCACACCCCCCCACCCCCCACCCGGGGATCAGGGAGGAGGACAGAGTTATCTGTGCGAAAAAGCCCCCGCTGCCGTAGTGACACACTGACAATTAGCTTATTGGTTTGAAAGCATCAAACATTGGTGGGACCTCCTGATGGCCTGAAGTACAGAGAGCTTGAAAGACTCTGCTTGAGTGAAAGCCAATGGCTGGAACAAAATAAGTATTTGAGGGAGAAAAGCTGTTTGAGGCATTCTAAGAATAATTCTGCTGCCTACAGTTTAAGGGGGGAGAGAGTTAGAGAAAATGAATACTCTGTGATTCTACTTGTTTTTTTAAGAAGTAGAAATGTTTGTTTATGCACTGAGAATGCCTAGAAAAATAGACACCAACGGAGGTTGCTTCCAGGGACTGTGATGGGACCATGAGAGGAGTGGAAGGAGGGACTTCTACTTTCTAATCTATGTGCTTCTGTATTGTTTGCATTGTTAAACCATAAATGTGTATTGTTTTTCTAATTAAAAAAATAATTTTAAAAGTTTCTCTGAGATTGGCCTTAAAATATTCCAAGCCCAAAAGATGTATTTGGGGGGTGGGTTGCAATTAGACAGGAATGCCAGAATGAGAATGTTAAAGCTGATTGATGATACATGAGTGTTCATTATATTCTTATATTTGTATTTGAAAATCTCTGTTTAAAGGTAGAGAGCATGGTGCCCGTGAGAATCACAAGCTTTGGCAGCGCTGGGTTCAAGTTAACACAGAGCAAGAACCAGCTGGAACTGGGTGGTGGCTGCCTCTTAAGAGGGGCCTGCGTTTTCCCACTCACCATTCACACCGCAGACGTGATGTGGGTTCATCCCTTCCCCCCACCCACTCGACTTGTTTGTTTAAGTGACCCTGTGGTGATTTGAGGTTAAGCCCTAGTCTAAAATTGCCTGGACTAAATTAGAAATACATGTGCTTTTCTTAGATGTATACCACACATAGTCACCCCTACGTGAACATCCTGGGGTTATTTGAGCAAAACTACAAGCCTTCCGTCTATGTTCCAAAAAAGAAAGACATCATAGCCGGAAATCATTTCCAAAGAAAGGTAATTGAACCAATATAATAAAGCAGTTTTAGATGAGAAAGCCTAGAGCCAAGGGATGCTGTGAGTGCATGATTCAGTGGAGGTGAAACGATCTCTCTCGCTTATTGGAACGTGCCCTGACTAAGCCGTCTTTCTATTATGCTTTGTTTTCTCCAGTTCTTCGCCTTCCTGGTCACCATCTGCTACGCTGGAAACACATATTTCAGTTTTATAGCTTGGAGATCCAGGACCATACAGTGATTTGCCATTTTGAGAATTCAAAGGGGTGAAAAAAACCAAACATAAAGAATCTCACTGTAAGAACAGCTGTAGGTATAATGTATATTTCCAGAGAATTGTATTTAACTAATGTTTTTATATACTTAGTTAAATTTTCTCAGAGTGGTTTGTTACAATTAAACTGGATACTTATTTGCAAAGTGCTATAGCTTATAATGAACTCTCAAATATCTTGATGTCTTCATAGACCTTATTTTCTTAGACAGTGTATAAATAGATAAATTGCTAATATTAAGAATATGTCGTTTGTAAACTTAACTTTTAAAATGCCACATTCTTTTTTGATTAAATATTTCAAAATCCCCAGTAACTTGTCTGATTTGAGAAAGGAAACCTGCTGCTGAAGCCAGAGGCTGGGTGCTGTGGGTACATCTTCATCCTCACTGGGCTGCCCAGGCGTGACATTGCCAGGAGATGCTTGTCCACAGTCACCAGCTCAGGGTGGTAGGAGAGACCCATCTCTCCAAGTCTGGGGACCGTTGGTGTTTTGTGTTCTCACATGCTAACCAGTTAGCTAGAAAGTATCTGATGACACACTGACCTTGGAACTCAGTAGTAGTGCTGTAGTCCTGAGGATAGTGGTGAGTACAGTGACTCATGTGCTAGTGGGATTTTTTTAATATTAAAATAAATACAGGGGCTGGCCCCGTGGTGAAGTTCACGGGCTCTGCTTTGGTGGCCCAGGGTTTCACGGGTTTGGATCGCAGGCACAGACCTAGCACCACTCATCCAGGCCATGCTGAGGCGGCGTCCCACATGCCGCAACTAGAAGAACCCACAACTGAAAATGTATACAACTGTGTACTGGGGGGCTTTGGGGAGAAGAAGGAAAAATCAAATAAAAAAAATACATAACCATTAAAAGGATAAATACTTACATGTACCTTAAAATCATCTTGCTGACCACAGTGACATGTGTACCATATTTTGTGGGAAATACTGGACCAAAAGTTCTCGAATCTTCGGTCTCCAGCACTAATATTTTGTGACATCATTATCAGATATGATCAGACAGTGGGCAGAGCCCCATCAGCAAGGCAGCTGTGCACTTAGAGGAAGTGTTTTTAGGTAAGACGGTTCTTGGTACGGCAGTGTATCTTGGGTGATTTTTCAACATGAGCTTCTCTTGAAAAACAAAAAACCACAGAAACGTTAGTATGGTTGCTGACACTGAAGACAGTTTCAGCCATGCACTCTGTCGGCATAACCCCATACCCGCCTCTCTTCTCTCCATGTTTAGCTGTGCTGTTTCTGTCTGTTGTTTGTGGTTTGTGTCGGTCTTCCTGTTTACCTGATTCTAATTCCTTATCCAAGCTCTGTTTACCCCTATGTAGGAGAGGTGAGATTTCTTCAGTGTCTGATAACACTCACCCCAGACCTTTGAAAGAAACAGTGAAGGATGTGCTTGGGTTGTGGATCCAAAGAGGTGGTAAGGAGGGGGCACCAAGAATGAGAGGTGGTGTAGGTTATGGATATAGGTGGGGTGTGTGTTGGGAGCACAGAGGAAGCCGCTGTGAGTCCAACATTTAGTAAGCCTCGAAGGTTGAGCTTGAGCAACACAGACCTGCAGGTGATCACGGCTGCCATCTTTTTGGAGCTGTATTCCCCGTCATCACCAGGACAGCCTCTGACTCACTGATTGTGCAAGAAAAGCTGGGATAACGAGAGTTCATGTGGTCTGCCTCTGCGTCCATCTCTCCCTCTCAACACTCACAGAGGCATATTCATCTCCCATGTACTCCATAGTGGGTTTTTTTTCTTCTTCCCTCCAAAGCCCCCCAGCACATAGTTGTATATTCTAGTTGTAGGTCCTTCTAGTTGTGCTATATGGGACGCCATTTCAACATGGCCTCATGAGCGGTGCGTGAGGATCCAAACCGGCGAAACCCTGGGCCGCAGAAGCAGAGCGTGCGAACTTAACCACTGAGCCACTGAGCCGGCCCCCTCCATGGGTTTTTAAGTACTTTATATTGCAATCAAGCCTCCATAAAAGGCAGAAACACTATAACCTACAGAGGTCTGTTTCTGGAAACAGTCATAAAGAAAGAACCCTGTTTTATGTTCTCTCTTTCTTTATGTGATTTCTGTAATCACGGCCACATTTATGGGAAATAATTTCTGAGGTGAAAAGTTCCCTAAACCACTTTGAAATATCTTCCAAATAGACTAGAACTGTAGATCTTTCTTGAGCAGTAGCGCCAAAGAGATCTATTTCAAGAGAACAGTGACTCGTTTGTGTCCACGCAGGGTACTTGCTGGCTTATCTTTATTTGTGGTTTTTCAGGAGCATGACCCTTTGTGCTGCCCTGAGAGTTCACACACACAAAATTAAAAAAAAAAAAGAAAAACCAAGCAAACCAAAAAACAAAACAAAAGCATTTGTTTTTAACTGAAAGGAAATTATTATTTCCTCTTTTGAATACTGAGAAACTTTGTTCATGAATAATTTTTAAATGTGGATTTTTAGACAACAAAATGATTCTCTATTGTTCTGATGAAGGTCTAAGTTTTGAACTGGATTTGCTTTAATTTTTCTCTTAAAAAAGAAGAAAAAACGAAAAATAGAGCCACATGCAACACAGCCAACATAACAAGCAGCATAGGTTTCTGGGGTTTGAAAAATATTATTACAGGAAGAGTATACAGTGTGCTTAAGCTCTTCTCCGCCATCTGTGCTCGCCATCTGCATTCACCTCTCAGCCCTTCCAAAACCATCACGTCCTCTCTGATGGAGCTGAGTCGGTTTTCAATTTGATGTATTTACCCACTCATGGCAAATCAATGAAATGCTTTAGGCAGTGAAACTCTTGACTGCTATTTCCAAGTCATAGCCCCAAAAGATAAGTATTTAGCCAATATTAGAAAACCTAGAGACAGCAATGTTCAATATCAATTATTTTTGTACATTTTTAAATTGCTCCCTTCATAGGAAAATCCCTTCAGGGCATCAGCACACAAAAGATTTTTAACTACGTAACAGCTCTCTGCGTAGAGCACAGACATTTAAAAACACAAACTGAAGATGCAGCCCTGGGTAGAAAATCATCTTAAAGTTAGTATTTCTGTCCCCTAGACAATCACTATTTTAGTTGAAAAGATATATTTTTCACAGAAAAAAAATAAACCAGGCATATAAGGCAAGGTGCACATGTGTGCAAACATACACCAAAAGGTGGCAACCTAAGGAGCGTTTGTTAGCTTGGCCTTCTGCAGAAGTTCTGGCAACGTCCTGCTGCCAACTGTGAATTGTAAGTAGACAGGAAGGTGAAATGACTGTTCCAGTGTTGGTGACTTAGAATAATAGGGAAGATTAGAATATATACTGTTATAAGGCAGAGAGTAAGTAAATTTAGCTGTTTGGCAAAAATAAAAGAGGCTAGGGTTTGGGGGAAAGTGCTTAGCAACATAGAGGTGATGACTTTTCAGAAACTGAGGAAGGTGTGTGGCAAGAAAGTAGTTGGCCGAGGAGACGTTCCTTTTGGAAGGTATGTTTTGAGAAACTTTGTTGTGGGTGGCAGATTTTTTTTCTAGAATATTGAGAATAACTAAATCCAGAATGTAACAGACTCTGTCGCTGCCTCTTCAACATCTCTTCTCCCTCCTCCTCTTATCTAACTACCCTAGTTTTCATTCAGTATTCACACCACCCACTTATGCCCCAGCTACTTCGGGGGAAGCTGACTCCACTGTAACTCTAGGAATCGAGCCTGTGGCTCTGTCTAATCTAACCCGCCCTCTGGCCGTAGTGATTGGCTCAGGGATGGGCATGTGATCCAGGGCTTGCTCAGGAGTTCTGGGAGAAACATTCTGAGGAAATGTGTGGGCAGGAAGTTGTTGGCAAATATACTGTGACCACAAGGGGGAGCCAGTCATAGTCTGAAGGTGACTGGAAGAGCAAAGAAATGAAAAGAAACGGTCATGATTACATCATTGAGCCACTGAATCGGTTCAGCCCTGAATGCTGTCAAACTCTGGACTTTGCAATTCCATAAGCAATTATACCCACTTTGCTTAAACTAATTTCTGTTACTCGCCACAGTATGTATGCATCCTCCTAACCAATACACAAGACATGCTGACAAATGGCTTTCAAGCGAAGGCATAAGGTTCTGATTTGCTTTCTAATAGTAAGTCACCATAGGGCCCTATGTGGATGGCAGTAATGGTGGGCAGGGCAGCTTTAGCACCAGTGTTCATTAGCAATAGAAGGGTAGAAAAGGAAAATTTCAGAGTCCACTTGAGAGAGAGACTCAAGCCTTCCCAAGGCTATTGTTTAAGGATGGCAGTAGCATGGGAAGATCCCAGAAAGAGAAATAGCAGGGAGGATGTGTACTCAGAGGTGCTTTCATGACCTGTTTGGTCATTGTAATAGGAAAACTGAGCGTGAAGGAGGAAACAGGAACAATCTAGCCTCCAGCCATTTTAACTTACAATGAGAACTCCACCTTGTTGTGTCTCAAAGACAAAGAGTCAGCTCTTGAGAAGTGGCTTCCCCTTATGGAAGTAAGACGGCCATTATGTGCCAAAGAACATTGGCCCTCTAAGAGTGAGGATTAGGCCTAACCTCCTGACATTTAGGGAAAAGGGCTTATAAATGAAAGGTGGTACCTTTTTTTCAAATTAAAACCACAGTGAGGTGTTATGTCATACCCTCTAAAATGGCTGAAATTAAAAAGACTGGCAATACCAAGTGTTCACAACGTTTGGGAGCATCTAGAATTCTCATACATTGCTGGTGGGAGTGTAAAATGGTACAATTATTTATAAAGTTAAACATACACTTATAATATGACCCAGCAATTCCATTCCTAGACATTTACCCAAGAGACATATGTCCATGAAAAGACTTATGCAAGAATATGCATAGCAGCTGTAATTATAATTGGCCCAAACTGGAAACAAATGACTAACAAATGATGATAAACAAATTGTAGTGTAATTGTACAATGGAATACTACTCAGCAATAAAAAGGAGCAAACTACTCATACAAGCAACAACATGGATGGATAACTGAAATATCCTGAATGAAGGAAGCCAGATAAAAAAATATAATGTTTGATTCTATTTATATGAAATTCAAGAAAAGGTCAAATAAACCTATAGTGACAGGAAGCCAGTCAGTGATTGCCTGGGGTTAGAGGTAGAAGGGATTGGCTAGGAAGGGGCACAGGGAATGTTCCAAGGTGATAGAAATATTCTACATCTTCATTGTGGTGGGGGTCGCGTATGTGTATACATTTGTCAAATTCACAGGCTGTTTACTTTAAATGGGTGCATTTTATTTTGTGGAAATAACAGCTTGATA